CTCGGGGGGGTACTGGTGTGTTTTCGGGGCTGTCCCGCCCGGGCGAGCGGGCTTTGGGGGAGGCTGGGGGGTGACGGAGGGAGCGGGGACGCTGGGGGCGGGCAGGGGGGCACCACGAGCTGCCGCGGGCCAATGTTGTTGGTGGGATCTATTTTTGGCCTGTGTTACCAGGGGCTGGGGGAGAAGCAGACCCCACCCCCAGACCCTTTCCGGCACTGGGAACGTTCTGACGGGTGCAGCCAGGTCCCGAACAAGGGAATGGGACAGGAGGATCCCGTTTCCACACCCATCCCCGTGCAGAGGGCTGACGCCGACATCCCCTGGGAGCAGAGAGCTCCCTGCCTTGGCGGGCTGCGATCTGCCGTGGGGACAGCCGGTGTCATCCCTTTGCCACCTGCCTGGGGGCAGAGCCCCTGTTAACGCAGGGCTTGCCGGTTCTCACGGCTTGGGTGCTCGAGCTTGGGCTTTCTTCAGGGCAGCGTTGCCGCCGTGCACCCCGCGGCGCTCGGAGCGATGCAGCAGGAGGAGCTTCTCGCTGGATGTGCAGGGCCTGAAATTCAAGTCTGGGATCTAGGAGGGGTGCGGGGGCCATAGGGCGGGAGGAGAAGAGATGCAGCAGGAGAGAGGCTCTCAGGAGCCCTGCTTGGGAAGGGCAGACTGAGGCTAGGTGGTCTGGAGAGGGGCAAAGGGTGCCTGTGAGTATCGTACAGAGCCACCAAGCACTGGGGATCCGAGCGTCTCCTCAGGTTTATGCTGTCCACTGCCTCCGTATTCCCAAGCGGTTTTTATCTTGGATGCTGCAAGCACGCTCTGGAGGTATGGGGTGAGTAGTGTTATGGCACAGCGTGTTAGGGTGACAGAACGGTTTGGGCTGGAAGGGACCTTCAACGAGCATCCAGTCCAACCCCCTGCCATGGGCAGGGACATCTTCAACCAGACGAGGTTGCTCAAAGCCCCGTCCAACCTGGCCTTGAACGCTTATAGGGATGGGGCATTCACAACTTCTTGGGGCAACCTGTGCCAGTGCCTCACCACCCTCATTGCAAAAAAATGTCTTAATCGCCAATATAACTCTACCCTCTTTCACTCTAAAACCATTGCCCCTCGTCCTGTCACTACAGGTCTCTCTCCGTCGTTCCTATAAGCCCCCTTTATATATTGAAGGGCCGCAAGAAGGTCATTTGTTGTTGTAGTTGCCCTCCACGGAGGTGCACCGGGCTGCAGGGCCTTCCCCGTTAAGGTGAAGCTCAAACATGGCAAGAGAGGGAAACGTGCAGCTGCAAGCCCCGAGCAGCCCAAAGGCTGCCCCGCAGCACCGGCGTGCGCTAACCGTGCAGCGCAGGGTGCGACGCCCCCGTGCCTTTGGCAGCGAGCAGGGTTTTTAGAGACGTGAGGGGCTGTTTATTTTCCTAAGTGAACTTCTCGCGGGGACGCACCCGGCGGGGGGCCGTAGGGACAGCACTGCATCTCGTCGCGTCCCCAGCTTTGGGAGGGCCGGCCTGTAGCCGGCAAGGAGAGGGCCAGGTCTGCCTGCTGCTGGCACCCTCCTGCCCTCACTCCCTGCCTTCTCCCCGTATTCCAGCCGCTGGGCTGGGGGCTGCCTCGCGGCGGTGCAGGAAGGACACGCGTCTCCCCTTGGCGTGCGCCGGCGGTCGTGGGGTTGTGTGGGGCGGCCTTGCTTCCAGCCGGCAGCGAGCTGGGAGGGGGCGCCGGGAGCGGGAGCGGTTCGTAACGGATGGGCGTGCAGAGTCGCCGCTTGCGGGGCGAATCGCTGTTGCCTCCTGCCTTTAAATCGGCGTTTATCTGATCTGCGCTCGTCTGCCGTAGCGTTGGTGTGAAATGAATTCTTCCAAGGGTTTGCAGCTGTGCTTTACTTCCCCAGTAAGTCCGGGCTACGTAGAGACCCGGAGGGAGGCGGAGATGGAAAAAGAGAGGAAGCGCCACGCTGAGAAAGATGCTGAAAATTTTTTCTTCTGTTGGAAGGCGTTTTTCTCCCCGGGGAGGGAGGCCTTGTTTGAACGGTTCCCATATAAGGGCAATTCTACTTTTTAACTTTCTCCTTCCCTCTCTCTTTGCCTCCCTCTTCCCCCCGAGGGACGGGAACCCCCTTTGACTCCCCTTCTGTAGCTGTGGTATGGAGCCAACGCCAACACGAGGACTGCACGCTTTGTCCTTGTTTGAGTAAGGAGCAGCGTTGCCAGCCTTAAGAGCTTAGAAATTCGTAAGCCAGGACTCTCCCGTGTCGTCAGCTTGTCCTGATACCTCGAGATAACAAGTGCGAGGCCGTTTCATATGCTTTCTGGTCTCCTAGACCTTAGGATTTATTTTTCAGACTTGGTGTGAGTAAGCGAGGGGAGAGATTTTTCACGTCCTCGTGCAGGGTCGCAGCGCCTGTGTCAGTGCTTGCAAGCGTTAAATAGAAACCAGAGATCACAGCACCAGGCAGGGCCCAGCTCCGGTTGCTTTCCCAGAGAAATCCTGCTTTCTTGGAGAAATCTGGCTCTCCCAGAAGAGTCAGGAGCCGGGTGAGAATGCAGCAGCCCTGCCCCGTGCCGCATCGCGGCGCGTGCCAGCCCGTCTGCTCTATGGGGTAGTCATTTAGCAAAGAGCAGTGCAGCCTGGTGGCCTCCCAACAGACCGTGGACCGGGCCAACACCGCAGCGTGGCCCAAGACGATGATCTCATGCAGCGAAATACAGTAATTGCTAGGCGATGCGCCTTTGTGTAGCAAGGCCGGGCGCCTTGCAGCTCAGCCTTTTGCAAAGCTGCAGAGCCTAATACAGTCCCCACCGGCCAACCTGGCATAACTTGGGACAATCCATCCTGCTTCTTTCTAGGATGAAACAATCTTCTTTAATCCAACCTGTTACGCGGCAGCGCAGCCAGGAGACTCGTGCCCCTGCCTGGGTAGCGTGGCCCTCTGCACTGGTCCAGGCAGAAGAAGCAGCCCTTCATGTTGGCGCACGTCATGGCCGCTCACGCGGTAACGTGGTTTGGTGTTAGGCTGGGTTTTGTGACGCAAATGCGGTCACAAATACGATGCAGACGGGGGCAACTCTGCAATAGTTGTTGAGCGTTGGAGCTGAATCTAATGTGACCCAAGGCCAAGGGGCTTGGGGGCAGATGGGGAGGCCCGTGGGCTGTGTCAGGCCATAGGCCAGCCCCGTCGTGGCAGGGCATGCAGCGCAGCTGCCATGCGGAGCCCGTGGTTGGTGTCCCCAGCTCCCCCCGACACAGAGCAGGCAGCCCTTGGCCAGCCCGTGGCGGGGACGGCGGAGAGCGTGGTGGGGCAGGGTTCACGGCCGTGGCTGATGGGCGTTTGGCAGCTGCCGTCGTCTGGAAAGAAGCGGCGATGCATTCCTGGGCACGTTCTCCTTCCCGCCCCGCTGCTGTCATCACCCCCTCTTGGATAGCTTTGGGGGGAGCAGCTGCCGCTCCCTCCTCTCCGGCAGCCGGCGAGGCCAGTGGGATCTGACCAGCGCCTTTGTCTCCCTAGATGGGAAGAGGAGTACACGGTGCGTGTCCAGCTTCAGGACCGGGTGATGGAGCTGCAGGAGGTGAGCGTCGCTCTCCCCCCCTTCCCCTGCACCCCAGCCGCCCCGCGCTGATGCTGATTTGCCCGTCTCCCTCTGCCCGGGGCAGGAAGCCCAGGAGGCTGAAGCCTGCCAGGAGGAGCTAGCCATGAAGGTGGAGCAGCTCAAGGCAGAGCTTGTTGTCTTCAAGGGACTGATGAGCAATGTGAGTCCCTAACCCCTCTCCGACCTGGCAGCAGTGTCCTACCCGAGCGGTGGGGCTGTGTAGAAAAGGAGTTCCTTGGTAGGGCGCGTCCAGCACAGAGGTGATCTGGCAGGGTTGGTCCGGGGTGCGGCAAGCAAAGTTGGGGATGTGGATGCAGTCCTGCGGCACAGGAGGGAACGTGGGGACTCCGGTTGCCATTTGCCTTGCCTAATCTTCCTCCTTCGTCCCCCTGCCGTGGCGCTGTGGGTTCAGAACATCACGGAGCTGGACACCAAGATCCAGGAGAAGGCCATGAAGGTGGACATGGACATCTGCCGGCGCATCGACATCACTGCCAAGCTGTGCGACGTGGCGCAGCAGCGGAACTGCGAGGACATGATCAAGATGTTTCAGGTGAGAAGCGCCTGCTGCTGCCGCAGGCTCAGCCGCTGGCTGTGGGGAGGAGAGTTCCCAAAGGAGGTAGAAGAGACACCACCAGCCCCCTGCTAGGGGAGACGCTTGGTCACCCTCGCCCTCACTCCTTGCGGTCCCTTGCTCTCTGTCTGTCTCGGGAGGACCAGGCGAAAGGGCATGGAGAGGAGGTGGAAAGCTCCAGGTGTTGCTTTGGGCGTCGGGAGCCCCCTCAGCCTCTCGCTGACCTGTTGCGTTGGGCCCAGGGACCCCGCAGTGGTAGGGGAGCAGCTGCAGGAGGGAGACGAGCGGCTTGAGTGTCTGTCTCTAACTCCATCTCTCTCCTTCCCCTTCCCCTCTCCGTCATCTTCTCTCTGTCTCTCTTCTCTCTCTCTCTGTCTCTTTTCTCTTTCTGGATGTTGCTGCCTTTCTGTCTCGCTCTCTTTGTCCCTACAGAAGCAACTGGTTAGTTCCATTCAGTTGGGAAAGCGTACAAATTTTAAACTTTCTATAAATAATATTGACATATTTCACCTTTTTCAGACTCTGTCTCTTTTTTCCTGTTTCTGTCGCTGTGTTTCCCTGTCTCTGGACTGGGGTGGTGGGCGATTTGAGTTCTTCTGCAGTAAAACCACGTTGTTTTTTCTCATCAGATTCATAGATTCCATCTTTAGTTGCTCGGTTTTAATTTTAGAAAATGCTAAAACCATGTTTTATCCATCGCACCATCTTTAACCTGATCATAACGAGCCCGTCTTTCTCTCTTGCTTTTCTTCCTTCCTTCCTTTCTTTCTCTCTTTCTCTCTTTCTCTCTTCTCTTTTTCTTTTTTCTTTTTATCTTTTTCTTTTTTCTTTTTCTTTTTCTTTTTTTTCTTTTTCCCTTCCTTCCTTCCTTCCTTCCTTCCTTCCTTTCTTTACT